CTTTTTTCGGCGATAGGTAAGTATCTGTTTTAGTGTATTTACGTAATTATATCTATTATTTTTTACTGATATTTGTGTATTATTATAAGTTATGTTTATTCTATATATTTCCATTCTTATTTTCTTAACATTTTTGTTATTTTTATTAGTTTTCAAATTTCAATAAGATGAATCAGAAGAGACCGATACGACAATGGTTGGCGGATTTATTCGATGATGAGCAAGATGCTGCTGGTTCTGCCTCGGAAGATGAAATTGTCGACAAAACAGCTGTAGTTAGTACCCATGATTCGGAGAGCGAAATTGAGAATCTAATGCTCAAAAACCAGAAATAGTTACCTATTATAATAGTACCAAAGGAGGAGCCGACTGTAACGATCAACTATGCTCTAATTACAAAAGTTCTCTAGTTGCTCTAGTTGCAAAAAGGACAAAAAAGATGGCCGCTAGCTCTATTTTTCCTTCTGGTAAATATATCAGGCATCAATGCATTTGTCATACTCAGGGCGAATGAATACTCATGAGAGTAGCACACATATAAGACGGATATTTTTGAAAAAACTGGCAATAGAACTTGTGTACGATCACCAGAAACGTCGCATTCAACAGCGTGCTATCCCTATTTTGACAAAAAAAGCGGCTCCGAAAGGTTCACGATGTGCAGGAAGTTATACACCAATAGACTGCAAAACGCGGGCGCTGTTCGTCATGCTCTAGAGAGAATGACAAAAAAGTGCCGAATAAGTGCCACAATTTTGGTTAATTTATTTGTCAGGAACATTCTAGGGCTTATTGTATCGATTGATTGATTGATTGATTGATTGTTTATTGCATGTGTTACAACATAGTGCTTACAATTGTCATGAAAGAGAAAAAAATATTTATAAAGTTGAAAACAACAATATAAAATTATATATACAATACACATATACCACCATATAATCATTCAATACATATGTAAATATCAACATTCAATATAAATAAAATGGTCTTATATAAATACAAGATACACACAATATAAGCAAACAAACTATAGCAAACAAAAACTGCGTTCGGAAACACAACAAAAAAAGGTCTCAAGGCGACCCCATTGAGTCAAAATGAAAAGAAAGATGCAGAATGAATATCGGATGCAGAATGAATAATTCCACTAAAGAATCAGAATAATTTTTTTTTTAAGTTGATCTCGGCTATGCCAAAAATTTTAATTTTTTAGAGGATTTAGGAATTGTTTTATGTTTAGTTTGTTTAATGTCAAAGTTATATTTTTATTTTTGGAAGTTAATTATAATAAATTATTTTAATAATTTTGATAAAATATACTTTGTTCTATTCATTTCTTTGCCTCCATTTTCATTCATTACTTTGGGGTCAGTGGTGACCCCATGCTAGACTAGTTGTGTGATTTTCTTAATGCGCCTAATTAAGGGCTAATCGAATAAACTGCTCTAATGGACGATTTTGTCGACGATAAAATGGACGTAGTGCGCGATACGTATTCCGCACAGAACATTTATTTTCGAAATAAAATTGCACTATTTGCAAGCGTTGTTCAAGCGTGAGTCTATGCATGATGAATTGTCAAACCAAACTGAGAACAAATCACTTCTCAGCTAATAAATCGGTCGCCATCTTCAACAGTACTGCCCACTTAAAACTCTATACCTCTAAAAAACATCCTCCACTTATATTCAGCGATAAACTGTTATCGCTTACCCACTCATTTATTGCTGCCAAGTATCTATGGATCCATTCTGTTATAGTCTGTATACTTTTACCACTTACATAAAACATTGTTTCATCTGGAAGTAATTGTTTAGAACATTTTTTTACATAAAAACAATATGATTAATGTATAACAATATATATCCATGCATGTATATAGCTTGCTATTGAAACAGTGGAAGATTATCATAATCAGTTTTCTGTTTTGCCTTCGATATTGTGTAAAAGTTCATATATATTGTCATTATATTGCACAAAGGTTTCATCGTGAGCTTTTCATTTATTCTAATCAAAATGATGACACTCTCAAAGACCATATTGTCTGGATTTTTGAACTGATTTCGTTCTGCTTCTCTTGGCAAATTGGATTGTTTAGATCAAATCAATCTCTGAAATGGTTTCATCTCCTGAGCGAGAATATATTGATGCTCTGGAATTTTTACGATACAAAGTAAACAAACACGTAACGTAAGACATAAAAATGAAATTCTGCGAGGAAAACGTTGAGCACAAAGAAATACTCAAGAGGTTATTAGTTCGCCATCTAGAAACGACAGCATATCTTGGTGTATTTAGTCAGAAACTGCCTTCGCAAGATCCCAAACATATAATTTTTTATGAGCGTGTTGTTAAATTCTTCACATACACGAAATCTGTGCGTGCCTCGTCACTTTTCCCGCAGGGATTTAAACCGCGAATATGGAGTAAAAACTAACAATCGTCAACTCCGCAATATCCTTATTATGGGCCTGCATCGCTAAAACACGGTATTTCCGTTGGAGGTATTCATTTTTATTTATGACATACTGCAATAAAGTATACGACCTGATGAAAGTAGCTTCTCAAACTAAATATTTTATTTTCGGCGAACTCAAGATTTGCCACATAGTAGTTCCGGTCGTTTAGGTCTTTTTAGTGATATTTTCGCAAAGATTACTTCGATATTCCGTTGTATTCACAGAGAGCAACGTTCAAAATATTTTTATGTATCATCTTCAACTTCACACACACACACACACTTTTATATATATATATATATATATATATATATATATATATATATATATATATATATATATATATATATATATATATATATATATATATATATATATATATATATATATATATATATTATATATATATATATATATATATATATATATATATATATATATATATATATATATATATATATTATGTGAAATGTTCAGAAAAATAACTCTTTAGAAATGAGTTTATTGTGAATAAGATAAGTACAATGAATATTCTCTAGTGCAGATCACAAGACTAATAAGAAGACTGACTTGATGAGTAATAGTTGAGCCTATTCATGGGATTGAAAATGGTAATGGGTAAATGGGACTTCTACAAATATTGAAAGTTTACATAATAATTGGATGTTATTTACTGTTCAGAGTTTATACAATGCAATCATTAAATATCTATTTGAAGTTTATTATTGATAATATGGGTTTACGAATTGGAGTTACTCATCGGAGTATGTTTGTTAGCTTTCACTATACTTGTTGTTATCTATCTTCATGGAATTATGATGAATGATAATGTGTTGACATAATTATATATATATATATATATATATATATATATATATATATATATATATATATATATATATATATATATATATATATATATATATATAGTAAATACTGAGACTCTTAATCGAAATATCGAAATATTTCAAATAAAACTCTCAGGGAATTCAGGGAATCAGGGAATAGTATTGAATTACCTGTGAATCTCTGATCTATATATATATATATATATATATATATATATATATATATATATATATATATATATATATATATATATATATATATATTTGTTATGGTAAATTTTCATGCAATCTTTAAAATGATATAAAAATCAACAAAGTTCAATTTTTCTCAAGGTGATGCTTCTAATTTGTTAAAATGATTGTTTCGACAAAGTCATATTTCATGCATTTTACTTTATTATGAAAGATTTTGAACATACATACAGTTTTGTAGATATAGGTAATTCCATTTAAAATAATAGGTTTATTTAGTTAAATTTCTTTCCAAGTTGATAATTCATGTTGTGTTATTCACAGTTCAACACATCACAATTTAATAACATCACTGGTATGTAGTTAAGTATGTAATGTTCATTTATTTTGATTGTTTATAATTATGTATTTCTTGTATAAATCATTTCTTGTCATTTAAGAGTATTCATATAATGTAATTGTAAAATCCATTTCCAAAATTTTATGAAATCGATCTAATTATCAAGTGAATAGTAAAGAATAGTTAACTTTTAATAGTAACCTGAAAATTGAAATATATATAATAAACATAATTCAAATATATTCAACCTTACCAAAATGGTAATTATTTAAGATATTGAAATATATTGTATACATTTCATTTATAAATATGAAAATTGTTGACATGTGTAAAATCATAATATAACCTCAAATATGAAGTTCGGAAGTTCGAAGACTGAAGCACACCATAGACAATATCAAATTAAAATTGAATGAGGAATCACAGAAATTAACTTTGGGAACGAAATTCAAAAAATAAGACATCAGAGATTGCTTTGAAAGATATCAGACTAAGAATCAGGAGGAATTTGAGAACAATCGATAGAGGGACGCCAAGAAAAAATTTTTTGAAGTTGAGTTGAAAAATTGGAAAATAAAATTTGTTAGAATATATGGAAAAAAGAAAAATTATTTGAGAAATATAAGTATAGCAAATTTATAAGAAGTATAGAAAAGTTTCGAAGAGAAGTTGAAAGGAAATCGGAGCGGAAATAAAATATTGGAAAATGAAATTGTAGCTGAAATAGAAAAAATTCAGGAAAATTAGTATAAAGAAGAGAGCTCGAAGAAACAAGCCTCCAATGAACTATAAAATTAATATCGAATAAAAAAAAGACCATTTCAAATTATATCTTAAGTTTATTTTAGTTGTAAGAAGTTTAAGAGTTTGTTCAATTTTTCATTTCTTGTTGTAATTAAAGTTAGTATGTTTAAAAATTAATCAGAAATATTATTTACAAAAATTTAAGATTTCAATTAAAAAAAGAATCCACCCTGAGAAAGAGAGTCAACTAAATTAAAATTCAATAAAATTCAAAATTCTTTAGAAAATTAATTCAAATAAATATAACAATAAAACTTTGATAAATAATATCATAACTATAAAATCATAACAATATATATATATGAAAAATATTTATATGCAAATTTGGAATCGAAATTACACCACAAAAGTTTCAACCTCGACTGGGATACGAGCCCAGGTCTCTCAGGTTTACGCCCTGTTGCTCTACCAACTAAGCTAGCGAGGTCTACACTTCGCGATGCAATTCCGACTATATCTAATTACTATTTTGTTCGCAAACCAGTCATTGACGCACGGGTTGTCGTCTTTTAAACTGCACGAACGTGAGTGAAACGTGAGTTGGTAGAGCAACAGGGCGTAAACCTGGGAGACCTGGGTTCGTATCCCAGTCGAGGTTGAAACTTTTGTGTTGTAATTTCGATTCCAAATTTACATATAAATGTTTTTCATATACCATATGTCGGTACGTGCATGGTTAGCGCGAATAATTTCACTTTACTTAAATATAGATTTTATATATATATATATATATATATATATATATATATATATATATATATATATATATATATATATATATATATATATATATATATATATATATATATATATATATATATATATATGTGGAAATGAAATTTTTTTTTTTGCTTATGGCACTGAATGAAATATTTAAGAAAATGAACACTAGAATTTTCAGGTTCTTCAATAGCAAAGATCTACATGAAATTTAGAATCTTGTCTTGAAGTCCAAAAATAATACAATCACTATCTCGCCTTCATTCATAGCTTTATACCAATTCTCAAATATGCTCAACAGTGCTGTATTAGAGGAATTTCTCTTGAAAGTTGATTGTAGGTCAGAAATAAGTGAACAACTAGAGTTTCAACAACTAGGTCGAAATTCCTCCAATTTGACAGTGATACAAATTTTGTATCACTGTCAAATCAAAGTGATAGTTACGAAAAATAACCAAGACTATTTGTACCAAAATCATTGGAATTTGATACTTTCAAAAGAATAGATATGGCAAGTTTGAAAACTATTGTGGGAAATCTGAAAGAGATCAATCAAAGTTCTGAAGATGTTACGACCGTGAAGATATAGAAAAATGATTTCGATATTTCTGGAAATACATTTTTAGATTTGATAATTAGATCACTCACTCATGGATTCTTTCCAACTGAATGGAAATGTTCATTTATGATACCTGTGCCTATGATACCTCTACTTTGTATTGAATTACCATAAAAATTATCATTTAAATTATTATTTTTCATTTTAATTTTCTATTTCTAGAGAAATTTTAGAAATGTTACACATTCGTAAAAATTCGGAGAACACAGTAAATGAAAGAACAGACATTAAACATCTTCATTCTATTCACAACGATTTAATAAACTCTACAAATAACACTCACGAAATGAATACAAAAAAATCACTAAACATCACATAGCAAAATTCATTTTTTCCAGACCTACCTTCAATTTCACACACATAAACCAATCAATATACATATTCTGGATAAGTATAAAACTCAACTATATGTAATTATAGATATGTATATATGAATCACACTTATCAGAATCACCTGGCTTACTATGAGTTTTTCACAGGTTTCCTCATGGTGAAGAAGACGAAAACTTCCGGAGCGAATGTTAAGCCAGAAATATTCCTCTGATACTAAAAATCAATATGTGAAAATACAAAAAAACTTATTTGATTTTTCTAAAGAATGAGTTTGACATTTGGATATCTACAGTAATTCATAAAATTCAATTATTCATTAGCTTTGACAAAGTTCTGATATACAACGAAACGTCAACGAAAATGAAGTTTTTCATATTGAAGGAAGCCTGTTATTGCTGAAAACATTCGAAATAAACTATCTTAAACAGGCAATAAATAAATTAAAATATATATATATATATCAATATATATATATATAATATATATATATATATATATATATATATATATATATATATATATATATATATATATATATATATATATATATATATATATATATATATATATATATATATATATATATATATATATATATATATATATATATATATATATATATATATATATATATCAATATATATATATATATATATATATATATATATATATATATATATATATATATCAATATATATATATATATATATATATATATATATATATATATATATATATATATATATATATATATATATATATATATATATATATATATATAAATTTATTTATACATTTGATCAAATATATAATCAAATTTCTGTATCATAACTTTATATTATGATCGTAAATTGTATCACTCTTTATCAGAAAATAATATCAATAATATTTAGCATAACTCAAAATTCAGTATGTTATCATAACAACATCAACATCCAATTAACTGAATAACTGAATATAAAGCCTATAACAATAGTCACAAACAACATTCAATACGTTATTTAGTAGAATCGATGTCATCGAATGACAAAACCCGTATGAACAACAAATTATACTATCGCGCAAATTTGTAATACGATACATCATAATTTTTGATCAACAAATTGTCACATTACTTTCAACTTGCAAATTGATGGCCAGTTGCCATATAATGACCATCGCATTTGCGGTTATCGATTGTTTTAACCACTGCTGTACAATTTGTGCCGATACTGGTAATTTGGTAATGAACAATTCGATGAATAACGTCTTTTTAAAGTGGATTTTGTAGCTATTCAAGTTACCACGACACTCCCTAATTATTGATGAGGATCTCCAGTGAATACTATCTATTAGTATTAGAACATACACTGAAATGCATTAATTTTTCCGCAAGAAAGCTCCTAGCATGATTGAGTTATTTTATGCCATTACTGAGTTTCTCAATCATCAATTTTTGGCCACCATCAATATGACCTCTTTGTGTACCTTCAAGCTAGCATGCATTGGATCTCTTGCGACATGTATGTGCAATGACTAAGAGACGCTTGCAATAATATGGGTAAAAGAAGCTCATCTGAGATGCTCGAGTTAATCAACATGATCTAATAAACTACTAATGAACTATGTACGGATCTCTCATACTTAATTTCCGTATGCGCAGTATAGAGTTCAAGAAAATATCCAATGCCGACCAATTTCCAATCGCGAAATTCAATTCCGATTTTATAATATAATGAAAAATGTAACATATACCAGTGATGTGTATAGATATAAAACTAGGAATTGTGGTAGTTGCTACATCCAAAGTTGCAGGCTTTCTAAATCTAAGAATATATGGTAAAGCATTAGAGGCTTTCAATGATTCAGCTAGTTTTTAAACAATAGTTCTGGTGTTGAGATATTTGAGTGTTCATTGAAGGATTGTATTTTAGTTAATGAAATAGGTATGCTGATCCGAAATGTTTCACTTTTCAAAATATGTAGCTTTCGTATACTTCTTGTTAAATGGATGTTATTGTGTTTTTCTTATTTTAGCTTTTGATTGCCTTCTGTTTGAATCAATCCTAGACAAGCTCTATAATATTGGTTTCAGGGGAGTTGTATTGGGCTGGTTGCGATCCTTCATTGTAGATCGTTCGGTGGTGGTAAAGGTGCGGGAGAGTTGTTCTAGTAGTAAGGTGTTGGTTTGGGAGTACCCCGTGTGTCTGTACTTGGGCCGTTATTTCTTTGCTCTTCATCAATGATCTAACAGAGTGCATTGCCGCAGGCAGAATCACGATTTATGCAGACGACACCTGGTTGACAATTTCGGCTAACACATCAGGAACCTTTCCGATAAATATTCTGAATTAATGTTATGTTTCACTGAGTGGTGTTGTAGAAATGCTCTCATTTTGAACGCCAGAAAGACGGATTGCATTCATTTCCGTGGAGGAGCCATGGATGAAGGTACTCTGAGATTTGAGTCTGATGAAAACATTTTCAATTATATCATCAAATTCTTGGGTATTCAAATTGATAGTGAGTTGAGATCATACAGACATGTTGATTTATTGTGCCGCAAGCTGAATCTGGTAGGTATGCTGCGCCATATATAGAATGAGAGACTCGTTGCCTATTAATGCTGTTATGAACAAATAACGGGTGTTTTTTTAGAGGTATAGAACTTTAAGTCTGCATTACTGTTGAAGATGGCGACCGATTTAACAGCTGAAAAGTGATTTATTCTCAGTTTGGTTTGGCAATTCATCATGAATAGCGCCTGAACGCCGCTTACAAATAGTGCAATTTTATTCCGAAAATAATGATTCTGTGCGGAATACGTATCGCACACTACGTCGTAAAATTTTGTTTAGCGATGAAGCGCACTTCTGGTTGAATGGCTAAGTCTACAAACAAAATTGCCGCATTTGGAGTGAAGATATTCCTCAAGTGTATGTCAAAACACCGTAACATCCAGAAAAACTGTTTGTTTGGTGCGCTTTATGGGCTGGTGAAATCATTGGCCCGTACTTCTTCAAAAACGATGATGGCCAGAACGTTACAGTCAATGGTGATCGGTATAGAGCCATTATTACTAAATTTTTAATTTCTTAATTGAACAACCATGATGTTCAGGAGATGTGGTTTCAACAAGACGGCGCAACATGTCACACAGCTCGTTCCACAATCGATTCATTGAAAGACATGTTTGGGACCGCCTAATTTTACGCTTTGGACTTGTGAATTGGACTCCAAGATCTTGTGATTTAACACCTCTAGACTACTTTCTGTGGGGCTATGTGAAGTCATTGGTCTATGCGAATAAGCCACAAACGTTTGACCATTTGGAAGACATATTCGCCGTGTTATTGGCGATAGTTTTTAGTTATTTTCCTACTAGATTAGGGCAGTTTTGCGCATTTTCTTGTTCTTGTACGTAGGCATACATATTTGTAATTACTTTTGTTAACATTTACATTTCCAGCACGATTGTAATAATCTCACTGGATGAATATATAAATATTATTATTATTGTTACAAATCGATTTTTCAACACTTGATGAAATTTTAATTGAGTTAGCATATGGTGTGAAGCACTGCTGATACATCTCAGTTCCACGTTACAGTAATGCAATAATACAAAGTATAAAAATAATCAGAAAGGAAGAGAAATCCGAACATCATAATCACAAATGAAAAACCAGTATTTTAAGTATTAAATTACAAATGAAAAATAGAAGCAATCCCGAATGGAACGTCAAAATTAAAAGAAGTGGGCATGGATTACAACA